GTGAGTTAGTGAGATAGTTTGTTTTCTTTTTTTTTAGGGAATACTCTGGGTTCTTGAGAACTTGTTTTGTAGCTTAGACGTCAGTCTTAATTGTGGTTTGGAGTGGAATTTGGGTTTGAGGATGTTTGAGATGGGATGTTGACGATTAGTCTTTGGCAATTTGTTTATTTTATGGACGACGGTTTGCAATGGGTTGAAATATATTTTAAATGAAAATGATTCTGGTAATGTAACATTTCTGATCTGAACACAATTTCATCTGTGTCTGGCCATAGGTATACTGCTTTCACTGATTTCTCTTATGCTGCTAGTAGTAGAAGTCGATTATTCTTCTCACTTAGATGCTGTATCTTTTAATTATTTTATACTACATTGTTTATCGGAATTTCTTAGTATCTTATTTTACTTATTACAATGAGTTTTATTCGAAATATTCAATTACACGAACAAAGTGTCCTCGCCGATGAAATTTGTTCGAAGTTCAACATAATGGAAAGGAACCGTTTACGTGGAAAGTTTCAGGAAGTTATAAATAAGTCCTTTGTTTCCTCTTAAGCGGTGTTTTCTTGGTTTTATCGGGTTCCATTATAAGTGTTTTTATCAGTAACCCCTTGTAACCGGCAGGTAACTACTCGTCTTTGAGTTCAGACGCCCACGAATCGATCATTCCAACAATAGACTGGTACTTTCCGATTCTTCGAGCTCATTAGAGGGGCGCTGTAATAAACGATCAATTTTTTCGATCCCGATACACTTTGTTGTTCCCCGTTAACCCCTTCGCGTTCACTGCTAGCTCAATTAAACTCGCAGAAACTAATATATAATATAAAATGTCAATGTCTAAAATAACATTGAACATTAACCGCAGAACATCTTAACAATTTAAATAATTATAGAATAGGAAATCTAATACCGATCATTCTGATAAACGTAACGATTATACTAGCAAGAAAAAAATAAATATAAAATAAAAGTAAACGCAGAAATCACTGAGACTTTTGGAAATCCTCGCGTCTCAGTTTTCCCGACACTTCCCTCTTCCGGAATTCGTTGCGTTACGTCGACGAAAAGTCACGGGGATCCGAGTAAGCGACTTACCGTTCGTCGCGTGGGTCAATTAAGTAGAGTTAAGTAGGTCTTACTTCGTTACCGAAGTTTCGGCGCCATTGAAAACATAAGAAATTCAGGATCGTTAAAGTCACGGAATAATTAGCGAAAGAAGATGGAATGGAAGTTATCATACTTATCTTAACGGGAGCTACTTCGGCGCAGTAAATTCCTCCGGTGAACTCTATTTAAGATTGCTTTAAGATTGCTATTGTTCGGAGGGTATTAGGCGCGCCCTGCTCAATAAGAGATTTATCGTGAAGTTTTCTTGTTATATTTCTCTGACGGCGGCTTCCGAATGGAATATAAAGGCGCCTCTCGCTATACATTATTTTAAGAACCTGCGAGGCATCGACAATTGCTTTGTACCGCCGAGAGTAAATACTTGAATTTCATAATACGTGGA